TTGTCAACGTGAGGCGAGAGCCTGCCTGCCGCCACTGCGGCGAGGTGCTCAGCGGCCCCCGAGGTTTGGGCTCCCAGGGACCCAACGCGGCCATAAAAGGTGGCAAACTCCTCTCCATCCACCATGCACGCTACGGCAAACCCAGCAGCATTGAAGTTATAGCGGCCGTGACACGTGCAACTACCATCTATGTAGACATCACCTTTGAACGCGTCCTCAGGCCTTAAATCAGGGTCTCGACACCAAAACTTAGCGGCCCCCAGGCCAGTGCCAGGGGGAGGGTTACCCACAAAGGTGGGCGTACACTGAAACCCAAGGTGGGGCGGGGAGGTGTCAGGAATCAGGTCTTTCAACCTACGAAGCTCCCCACTAGTGAACTCTTCTCTGGCCTGGGCAGTCTTGGGGCACTCGAGGAGGCGATGTTGGAGGTCATCTTTGTGGTGTCCACATGGGCAACCTTTGGGCACATCATATCCTGCTGAAAGTGCGCGCTCCATGGTCTAGATACTCTTGGGTGACGAAGGCCAGCAGCGTGCCGCGCTATTGCTTGGTCAGTTCGACTGAGCTGAGGACGGTGCGGAGGGCCGAATCATCAAGCTGCTCGCCATGATGTCCCATCTTGGTGGCAGCTTGTACTGCTAGCTTGTCGTGCCAGGCAACCTCGAGCTGCTTGGCAATGTCGGCTGGGGAAGTTCCTGGGAGGGGATACGCAAGGCCTGTAGGAGTCACAAAACGGAAGGGACCCTGAAACGACCACCCCACCCTGGCCAACGAGAGGGCCGCGGCGCTGAGGGGCCCCGAGCCCCAAGTATTGGAAATTCTCGGCAAAACCGCCTCTCCCCAGAGGCCGATCTGTTGGAGGCTGGCCACGGCCGTATCGGGGCGGGTGTTGGCCTCCAAGACAAGACGGTGCCACATAAGCGCGGGCCCGAGGCCCGCTTTCCACAGAGGGTCCTGGAGGATGAGGAGCGAGAGAGTACGGCTCCTCCAGGCACACCTAGGACCTGCTGCAGCTAAATATTGAGTATGGGCCTGCGCGAGCATCGTGTTGTTGATGCCCGTGACCTCAACTCCGAACGTGGTGGCCGCTGCAAGGCCAGTATTGTGTAACTTCTTACCGTTCCCTCCAGCATTTTAATAATTAGGAGTCGGAGGAGGAGCAGGAGGAGGAGGAGGAGGAGGAGGAGGAGGAAGAGGAGCAGGCGGAGGAGGAGGAGGAGGAGGAGGAGGGGAAGGAGGAGGAGGAGGGGGGAGGAGGAGGAACAGGCCGTCCCCTTCCACCTCCCTACCCCCTCCTCGACGACGACTGCAGCGACGACGTCGACTCCCTCGGCGAGCAGGAGCTCCAGCGCGCCCTGTGCACGGCGTTCTCCACGCCCTCGCTCCTCAACGCTTCCTTCTGCTTCCCCGGCCTCTACAGGCTGGCCCGGCGCCTTCCCTTCCCCAGCCGCTGCGGAGGGCGTCGTCGTCGTCGCGATATTCGGCGTTATTCAGCGGCGTCATCGTCGGAGCAGGGCCTGGGGGGGCTCTCACTATCCACCTGCACGAGTCCTGGCCATGCCCATCCCCTGGCCCACGGTCAGTGCAGAGGCTTTCCCAGACAAGCCTGGAGGGCGCACCAGCCTGGGGCCCCACGCGCTATAGTGCCGGGGACGGGCATCTATTCGCTCCTTCGTTCCCCCTTCCTCCTTTGTGCGGTTGGCGCCGTCAAGATCGCATGCGCTGTGGTGCCGCCAGACCGCTTCTCCTTTGCTGTCCCCCTCGTTGGGGACAGCGTGAGCCCAGAAAGCCCTGGCGGGGGGGCAGCATGCACCGACGAGGCCCGCGCAGTGGGATAGCTTGTGGTCCCGTGCGATGTGCTGTGGCGCATTTCTAACAGCTCCTATACATCATCCTAACAGCACCCGCGGAGCTGTCCCAGAAGCTGCAACCTGACTTGCTTCAACCTGGCACCGAGCCGCCCACGCTCGGGAACGCCTCCGGGCCCTACCTCCGACTTCAATACTTGGCTTCTCTCTCTCTCTCTCTCTCTTTCTTTCTGGACTTCTCTACCCCTTCCCGTGGATCGGTTTGTCTTTCTCCGACGGCCCCGGGGCCCGAAGCGGGCTTTTTGGAGGCCGAGGTTGAGGACAGGCCGCCAGCACCGGCAGCAGGTCAAGGCGGAGGTCTGGGTCACGGCGGAGGTCTGGGCCAAGGGCCTCGAGGGCGACTTCCGGACTTCTCTTGTCAGAGGCCTGGATGTTGGCACCAACACCAATCTCCGCGCTCGTTTCCACCAATCGGGGGTGGACAGAACCCCCAACAGTGACACGTCGATTAGTGAACTGTCCGTTTTCGGTTCTCGAGAGGGCCCCGCGGCCATTATTTTCCAGGCTGGCGCCCGCCAGGTTTGGGCCTGAGGTCGTTTTCGCTAAACCACGTTTTACTAAAGGGGGTTCGGTCCATCCCCGATAGGTGCTGGCACCAACACCCATATCCGCGTTCGTTTCCACCAGGGGAAGGAGATCCCCTCGGGCGGCCGAGATATTGCCACAACGTAAATCCAGGATCAGTTATGCTGAGTGGAGACAAGCCGCTGTGTTGGTGTTGGTGCCCATCTGAGAGCCTCCGGTCATGGAGTGCGTTCTGGCCAGAATTCCTAGGCGGATCCAGCTGTGGCGACGAGGAGCATCACGGAAGCCCAGCTAGGGCGAGAAGCATCGAGCAAAAACATGCGTTTGGGGCGGTGGTTAAGGAGTGTGTCCAAGCGGCCTCAGACCCTGGAAGACTGCTCATTCGATGGGGGTTGCTGTAATATCATCCATGGCCAATACACGATTGGAGTTAGGGGGAAAACACACTCAGACAGTATGAATCGTCGATTCCCAGGGAAGCATGGGAAGCTATGGGAAGTGGGGGGGAGACGAAAACCCAGAACATATCTGGAAATATGGGGGATCCTGCGTTTCTGTCTATCATACATAGATGGATAGATAGCTAGGTAGGGTATATATATAAAGATAGATATATAGATATATAGATATATATATATATATATATATATATGTATGTATATGTATATATATAGATAGATAGATACATATATATATATAGTTATATGTATATATACATATATATAGATCTATAGATATATGTATATATAGACATATAGATGTATATATATATAGGTATATATATATATATGTATATAGATCGAGGCATACATCGACATAGATATACATATATATATATATGTATATATATATGGATAGATAGATAGATAGATACACACAGACACACGAACACGCACAGACACCATTCATTGTCGACCCCCAGGGAAATATAAAGAAAAATGGGAAGTGGGGGGGAGACGAACATCCAGACCATATCAGATAAAAATGGGGATTCCTGGGAATGTTGTGTGTTTATTTGTTTGGGTGCTCCTGAGCCCCTTCAAAGGCCTCCTGCAAATCCCTCTACAGGAGGCGTATTCAAGCATAGTAAACAAATAGTCAGGGGACGATTCTTTGACTATGTCTGACTATGTTTGCATCTATTTTGACTATTTTTCATTTTTCCTCCACAACCTGCCTGTACGTGGACCGGCCCGACCTCAAAAGGAGGTCCGCACCATCCGCTCCTCGGAGGCAGCCGGCCGCCCCCCTCTGGGGACCTCCCGCGGAGGGAGGAGGCCCGCATGTGCGGACGGCCCGGGGAGGCCGCCAGGAGGTGCTCCCCAGAGGCGTCCCGCCCGCCCCGGGCCGCCGACATCACGTCGGGCACGTCCCTCTGCAGGAGGAAGGCTCAAGAAGAGTCAGGCGTCCCGCCCGCCCCGGGCCGCTGACATCACGTCGGGCACGTTTCTCTGCAGGAGGAAAGCTCAAGAAGAGGCAGGCGTCCCGCCCGCCCCGGGCCGCTGACATCACGTCGGGCACGTCCCTCTGCAGGAGGAAAGCTCAAGAAAAAATAGTCAGGCGTCCCGCCCGCCCCGGGCCGCTGACATCATGTCGGGCACGTCCCTCTGCAGGAGGAAAGCTCAAGAAGAGTCAGGCGTCCCGCCCGCAGACGTCGGGCACGTCCCTGTGCAGGAGGAAAGCTCAAGAATAGTCAAAACACGGTCTGGGGACGATGGTTCTATCATGTTTTGGCTTTTTCTGAGTCTGTGTCGACTGTTTTTTATCTTTCGGCCAGAACCCCCCTGTAGGGGGAACAGGCCCGACCTCACGCTGACATCCAGACATCCACTGGTTCTCGCCACGATTCTCCTCTGAGGCGTCCAGCCCGCCCCAGGCTTTAGCCGGGACTTCCTTCCTTCCTTCTCAGGGGCAACGGCAGGGGGGGATAGGCATCGGGGAAGATGCATGGACCTTGAATCGCCCATTGAATGCCGATAGCGGCCCGATAGCCCCAACCTACACAGGAAGGTGCGGATTCAATATCGGGGGCCCATCGCCGATCCATCGGCGATGTATCGCCGATTCCAGGTCGAAGCATCCCCCCTGTGCCAGTTATCGTTGCCCCTCATGGTTATCGCCACGATTCTTCTCTGAGGCGTCCCGCCAGCCTCAGGCTTTATACGGGATATCCTTCCTTACCCCCTGCACTCCCCCCCCATACGGTGTGGGCGTTGATTCATGAAGGTGCCCAGGAGGCTTCAGACCCTGCGGGGCCCCTTATCTGGTGAGGGCGGTAATGATATACGTGGCAGAATCACAATTGGAGTTTCACCGCCTTCCAGACCCAGACATGCGACGTCCTGATTTTTTCAATATGGGGTCCCCAGAAGTCCCGAACCTCTCACCAGGGTCGATTTTTCGTCCTGAATCCTTGTTTGATGGCCCCGAAGCCCAGCGAGGGCCCCCCGAGGCCGAAAATTGCTAAACACTTCCCGTCCAGATAATTGTACGGCGCGATCATGTCTGGGGACCCTAGATTCTTTGTCGAATGGTTCCTTGTCCAATGCCCTCACCGTACCGGCCAGACCGCGACTGGACGCTGGCGACCTGCTAAGAGTGTTCGAGGACCGCCGTGGGGGGTGGGCGGAGGACGAGGCTCCCCCTCGCACGTCAGTGCCGTCTGGCCGATCCCTGAGAGAGGCAGCCTCCTCCGCCTTCGAATCCTCCTCCCCCTCCTCCTCCTCCTCCTCCTCCTCCTCCCCCTTCTCCTCCTCCTCCTCCTCCTCCTCCTCCTCCTCCTTCTGCGTGGCATCAATTCACTCCAGTTGCAAGTATAGCCAGTCGGATTCCACTCACTGCTTGCCTGGAAGGCGCGTGGGCCGCTTTCGCCCAAGCCGAAAGGTCGATGGCCCTCGCGTGCTGCCTGGAGTCCCCACCCCTCCACAGGAGGCGGCTCTTTCTTGGTGCACGCTCCCTGTCTCCCAACCACACGCTGATCCTCCTCCTCCTCCTTCTCCTCCTCCTCCTCCTCCCTCCTCCTCCTCCTCCTCCTGCCGTAGCCATTTTGGCTCAAGATGCTTCGTTCCACAGGGGAACACGTGGATACCGTTAGTCCGCGGCCAGTGCCAGGGCTCCTGAGCCCGACAGTTTTGATCGACCGTCGTGCCTCCTGCTGCCCGGCAGGTGAGCCCTCGTTCCTTTCGCTCAGCATGGGGAAGAGCCAGCAGGAGGCGCGCCGCGCTGCCGAGGGTTATGCCAAGTGCCAGTCCTGCGGGTACGCCTGGAACTTCAGGCGCAACCACTGGTGCTGGAAATGTGAGAGCCCGCTCAAGCCCTCTCCTGGACGCGCGCAGAAGCCAGGAGGCGTGTGGGGGGCGGGCCCTGGTGGCGGTGGCCCCAAGCGCGGCAAGTCCTCTCAGCCTCTGGCCGACGGGGGCGCTCCCCAGCCTGCTGGCCCAGGACAGGGTGATCGTCGCCAAGCCTTTCCTGATGCTCCATGGGTTTCGCCGGGGAGTGCCAGTGATGAACTTTCGCGTCTCCTGGCGTGCCCCGACGAGGGCATCCGCGGCGAACTCGAGAGAGTGCTCAAGGCGGCGAGGGAGTACAAGGCCGCACCCCCGCCGCAGGCCGGGCGCACCCTTGCGCAGAAGTTGCAGTCAGCTACGGACCGACGACTGCATTGGCGCAAGATCCTCGACGAGGCCGCCGACGCGCACACGGAGGCAGAGGACAAGCTCGCGGAGGCGACGGAGTGGCGTGACCAGTGCGCGGCGAACTTCGACTCCGCCCAACGCGAGGAGGCCGACCTCCTCATCCTCAGGGCCAGGGAGACGGGCGCTGCGGCTGCATCCGTCGACCCGCCCCGCCAGGCCACTTTCAACTCCGACGCAGAGAGTTTCGAGGACTGGCAGGACTTGGAGGAGGAGGCCCAGGAGGAGCTGCGCAAGCTCTGCACCGAGGGTAAGACCATCATGGAGGAAGCGATGGCCAATTTCGAGGCCAACTGCCGCTTGCAGCAGCAGAGGGTCAAGGAGTTCCGCGAGGCCCAGAAGAAGCGCAGGCGGGTGCAGAAGGACCCCGCCTCCCCAGCGCCTGGGCCACCGCCGCGCCAGGAGGCCCAGTCGGCTTCGGAGGCGGCGACGGGCGCAGGCGGCCAGGCCCCCGAGAGCACAGCCGAGGCAGCAGCCAAGGCCCGTGCTGACAAGGAGGCGGCGGAGCAGGAGCGCTGTGCAAAGCAGATTGGCGAGGCGGCGTCCATGGCCAGCCGCAAGGGCAAGACTGCCGCTGCCACGAAGGCCACGGCGGCGTCTGGCGCTGCTGGAGGGGCCCCTGCAGCTGCTCCCCCTGCTGGCGCTGGGCCTGGATGTGGGGCGGCTTTAGCGACGTCGTGCTGCATGACTACCGCCTGCCCGACTACACCTCGGCCTGGACCTCGCGGTACGTCGACATGGAGCAATGGCGGCTGGGCATATTGGCAGGCGAGAGCGGGGCTAGACGCATCGAGAGTGTGCCGCGGCCGCGCGGGTGGCCGAGTCCTCACTCCATGCGATCCCCGTTGCCGAAGCCGCAAACGGGCGGGCGGCCGATGCCTTCGGCGACGGGTCGGGCCCCTGCCCTTGCCAGCCAATGCCGCCACATGGACCAGATGGAGGTTGACGTCTTCGCGGGCCTGGACGATGAGCCCTACGCGCACAACGAGTGCATGGATGAGCCTTCTGCGCGGAGGCCAACACCAGCTACTGGCACAGCGAGCTCCCAGCGGCCAGGGCGCGCGAGGGTGCACAGACCGCAGCAGCGCACTCCTGAGGAGAGGCGCCGGCAGAGAACAGAGGGCAAGCAGGCGTCCATCCTGTTTGCCAACATCACCGAGCACGGCCCCCAGGCTACCAAGTTCCTCGCAGAGAGAGGCAAACGCATGTACAAGGCCATCGCTTTCGTGGAGACCCTCGCCACGGCGGAGCAGCTGGTGGCCACCCAAGCGGCCCTGGGCAAGGATGGCTGGAGGGTCGCCGGCACGCCTGCCACGCCCTCTGGCAAGGCGAAGACGGGCACCTCTGGTGGAGAGATGTGGTGCCTCGACAAGACCTTGGCGGCGACGACGTACGAGTGCCACCGACGGCGCCATCTTCTGGCCACGGGGAAGGAGATCTTCGTCGGTTTCTGCCCTGTGGTCCTCCACCTGAAGGAGGGCAATGTTGTCTTGGTGGCGATGTACCTGCAGCCAGGGCTCAAGTTTGGTGGCGTCAACCGCAATCGGCTCCTGGCGGTGGGCAGCTACGTGTCCACCCTGCCCGACCCGCGGGTCCTCCTTGCGGACTGGAACCTCGAGCCCCCTGAGTGGGACAGGAGCGAGTGGCTTGGCAAGATTGGCGGCGCGGTGGTCACCCCATCGAATGCAAGGACGACCTGCGACAAGAGCCAGGGACGCATGTGCGACTATGCGGTGGCTAAGCAAGGGTGCATCATCGGCTCCGCCTGCAGGCCATCTCCGATGTCTCGTGGAAGACCCATTGTTCGATCGAGGTCATCATTGAGGGCTCCGACCGCAGATGGCACCACGACGAGCTTGCGGTGGCCCGCAGCCCCCCAGTCCGAGAGAGGCCGCCTAAGGAGCCAGACCCAGAGAGCAAGACCTCGAGGCGCAAGGCGGAAGCCCTGCAGTCGCGGGCCCGCGCCTTGCCGCCGCAGCTCCAGGAGACGCTCCTTGAGTTCCACGAGCAGGGCAAGGACCAGCACCCCGAGGAGGAGAGGCCTTCTTCATCACGGAGGACGTTTGGTCAAGCTGTTGCCCTGCATTGGAAGACCCCGTTCCTCGAGCAGGCCAGATGGAGTACTTCATCAACGCCAGTCGCCCCGACGACGTCCAGGAGGTCAGCCCGGCGCATGGCAAATGGATATCCCAATTTGAGGAGGCCCACATCGCCGTCGAGCGCATTCCCCCTGATCAGGCCAGGGCTTGTCGAGGTCGGGCGCATGGGCACTCCATCGAGCGTGTCAAGGCGGGGGCTACCCCAGGAAGGGCCCACACGGTCGACGCTGCCGTTGAGCCGTGGGGCACCCTCACGACCCCGGCCATTCGAACACGAGCCCTGGTTGCGAACAACACGGACAGCGACCAGCTGGATTACGTGCTGGGCGACCTCGAGCAGCGGTGCGACACCATCGCGGACGAGGGCCACCGCCCCAGGTATTTTGGCAAGGCCCCCAGTGCTGCGTTGGAGGAGTGGAAGCATGCGAAGGATACTCTCCTTGCGTCCATCGGAGAGGACTTCCACCCCATGTCGGCCTCCGACCTCATCGGCGCACTCGACCCGTTCATTGAGGTGTCCGAGCGCTGGGCGAGCAGAGCCTCGGGCAGATCCCACGCCAAGGCACGTCGTGGATTCATCAAGTGGGCAAAGGAGTCCTGGGAGTCAAAGGCGGGGGTCGTGCACAAACACGTGCGCGAGCCGCAGACACAGCAGACTGAGGCGCTGTTGCGCGACACTGCTGTTGCCGACCCGTGCACTATCATGCGTGTGAAGACCGATGTTTGTGATAAGGCGCGGTCGGGCCCAGAGTTTGACGCGCGCAAGATTCTACAGGATTTGAATGGTCTCCGCGCGCGTGCTGCTGAGGAACCCCTGGGGTCCATCACCTTGGATAGGCTCGACGTGGTGCTGTCCCGGACGTCGCCCAAGAAGGCGAAGGGCATCGACAACATCACGGCTATTGCGCGTTGTCCACCGTCGGCGCGGCAGCAATTGGTCGACCTGCTCAACCTGTTCGAGCAGCGGGTGATCTGGCCATGGCAGCGCACCACTACAATCGGTGCTACGGTGCCGAAGCCTGCGGGGGGGGACCGAGTCATTGGCACGTTGGCGACGACGGCAAAGATTTGGTCCAAGGTGCGCTCTACCGTGACGGACGAGTGGGAGGCCTCCCAGGACCAGTGGTGGGACACCGCCATCAAGTTCAGCTCTGCCCTCAGGGCGGTCATCGTCCGTGCGTTGATGGATGAGACGTCGCTGCCGATGGGGTTCCACACGGCCACGCTGCTGCTGGACATTCAGAAGTTCTACGACAGCGTTGGTTTCCCTCGGATACTCCAAGCGGGGCTCCGCCTTGGATTTCCTGCGGTGGTGCTTGCCTTGGAGACGCAGCTCTTCATGGCCCCGCGGCATCCCCGCCAGCAGCGGTGGCTGGGGCCTCGCCTAGAGCCGCAGCGCTCTGTAGTGGCGGGCAGTTCCCACGTCAACAAGTGTGCGAAGCTTTTCTTGGCGCCCATACTGCGGGCTGCCCACCTTGAGTGGGAATATGCGCAGTTGTGGACCTTCGTCGGCGACGCAGTGGCGAGGGCTGAGGGGAAGCTGGAGCACGTTCGGTCTACCATGCTCGGCGTAGCGGAGTCCCTCAAGGCTGGCCTTGACGAGCAGCACCTGCAGGTCTCTGGCAAGACTGTCGTCATCGCTAGCCACCCGCAGCTGGCTAAGGACATCCACCGCGCGCTGGTGCGCAGGGGCGCCCCCTGTGCGGCCACCGACCACGCAGTGGACCTCGGCGCGGGCACTACTGCGGGGCGTGTGCGTACGCAGCGCAGGGCGCCCACCAGGAGGAAGGCGGGGCATTGCCAGTTCCGCCGCATC